CAGGGGTTCCAGGATTATTATTTTTTTTAAGCCGACAGATTCTGAAAAAAATGTGAAAACCTCTGCTCCAATCAACAGCCAACAAATATTACTCTGTGCCAGTGAAGAAAACCAAGATTAGCAGATCCCATGTCTCAGAGTATGTGTACACAAAGGGGCAGAGTTGCCACCAAAATCTCCCAAGGTTTGGAAGATTCTGAAGGTGATTCGCTCAGGGCAGAGCCTAATTTCTGCAAATCAGAGAAATTTGTGAGGCAGAAGCTCTTTTCATACCCTGTATGCAAATAAATACAAGCACAAAACCAAGAGATTTAGCCATAAGACTTTAAAATCTAAGAAATCAGTGCTGACGGGGAACTAGCTCAACCTGATTCTTGTATACTCCTACGCACTCAACTGAAGCAAACCCTCAGGTGCCACTGAAAAGTCAGGAACTCTCACATCAAAGATTATGCCTAATTCTGTAGTGCTGGTCACATATTCCTAGCTCATTTGTGTTCTGCAGTGGAAGGTATTATAAATTGTCATTCCAATGTTGAACTTCAGGGCTGCACAGATCTGTATTTTTTCCTTTATAGTGCCAATCAAGAACAGAACGGTTATTCTTCCTTACTATTCTCTCCTTCCTGGCCTGATGTCAGAGGTTGGCTTTGCCAAGAATGTACATAAACCGTTTGAGAAATAAGATAACATGATAACCTAAAAACTGCAATGCTGGATCAGGCCAATATTTACGGCTTAAACCACGGTGACCTATCAGATGCAACTGGGAAGTTCAATAAAAATGAGTTATCAATTAACTTTGGAAGGAGAATTCATATAGACAAGTTTAATTTGCATAGTTTATTCTTGATGGAATTCAACCAACAGTGCAGAATATAAAGATCTATCAGTGCCTCACTTGTTAGTTTGAGGTCACTGCTACTCTTAAAGCAAACAATTCAGGCTAGAGCAGAAGTGGACAACCCGTACCTATCCATATTTTGCTAAACTATTTGAAAAAGCTACGTAGATTTCACCTAATTAGGAAGGGAGAGCCTAATTACCAGAAGTTGAGCTTGATTTAAGGAACTCTTCACATCTACTCATTGTGCAAGTGGCTTGGAACTCTTGAATAATTCAACACCCAAAATGCTAATTCCATACTCTTTTGGGCTACAGAAAATGGCTTCTCAGGAAAGAATAACATGCAAGATGCCAGCTCTTCAGCTCTCTCTTGTGGAATAAAAATAACTCAGTAGTATAAATAAGATAGGGAAGCAAAATTCCCCAGCTGGGTAGTTTTTCAAGGATATATACATAAGTTGTTCTGAAGCGTTGCTAAACTAGATTTGGGGTTTTTTTGTTTTTTTTTAGTATGGAGTTGCCCACTTTAAATTTTAAAGAAGTCACAGGATATTCTGGGCTTCCAAAGCAGTAAATTTAGCTCGCAGAGGATATGATTCTTTATAATTATATAATTTATAATTCTTTATGAGTCACATATACAGATAGTCCTTGACTTACAACAGTTCATTTAGTGATCCGTTTGAAGTTACAATGACACTGAAAAAAGTGACTTATGACTGGTTTTCACACTTACGACCACTGTAGCATCTCCATGGTCACGTGATCAAAATTCAGACACTTGGTAACTTGATTCATACTTATGACCGTTGCTATGTTCCAGGGACATGTGATCCCCTTTTGCGACTTCTGGCAAGCAAAGTCAATGGGGAAGCCAGATTCACTTAGCAAACTGTGTTACTAGCTTAACTGCAGTGATTCACTTAACGACTACGGCAAGAAAGATCGCAAAATGAGGCAAAACTCAACAACCTTCTCCTTTAGCAAAAGAAATTTTGGGCTCAGTTTGTGGTCATGTAAGTCCAGGACTAGCTGTACCAAAGTATATCCAAACCCTCTTTCCTATAAAGAATCACCACTTAAAATGCAGCTTCCAGCAAGTCATAAAGTAATTTTAGCACTGTTCTTAATGTTGGTAAAAAATTATGCCTTCTTTTTCCCTTGGCTCCACCTTTTGGTATAATAACCAGCAGAACTTAACACCCTAAGACTTACTGCGGCCCACAGTTCACAAAAAGGAATCCATGCCCTGGTAGAAGACAAGAGATGCACGTGCCAAAGTCTGTGGTGTCTCCTGCCCCCATAGCCAAGATGATTTATGAATTAATTGTAAATGGCCAAGGGGTATTAAAATGGTAGTTTTTCACAGCTACTTTCTGCTTTGCCGATTATTATCTGTTTTGGTCTTAAATCCAAACAAAAGGGAGGAAAAAAAAAGAAAATAAATTCTGGGGATGTCTTGATTTTTGAGATAAGTATATAAGCGATATAAAACTTTAACAAAAGCCAAATGAGCCCAAGTCTAAAACCCACAACCTCTTAAACCTTGACTATAAACGTGTTAAATGAACAAAATCTGCTCTGTTAACCTTCCCTTCCTAAATCTGAAGAAATATCGATCTGCTTTTAGCAGATCTGCTTTTAGCTTAAGCAGAATGTTCAGGGAACGCCTTGCACACTTCAGAAACTATGTACGTCATGTATATACATTTCATGTATATAAATTTAAAATTAAAGGAAACCAGCACACCTATATTGGCACTGCCCGAACATCAGTATCGATCCAGTTAAGATTCCCTTGTGCAAATAATCCTTAGGGGGGAGGAAAAGAAAGTGGGGAGTGGGGCTGAGACCAAGAAGCCAGCCTAAGGTCTGTTACTGGGAGGAAAAGAAACCTTCACACACCGGGAGAAGAAAGTTTGCAGGTTTCAAGGTAAAGATCCTAGCCAGATTTGTCACGAACTGAATCAATCTGAAATACACTACTCCAGTGCAATCTCACAACAGGCAGCTGGTGATCACAGGGAAACTATCATTCAAGTAACGCTTCTCTACTTCTCCAAGAAATCTATGCGTGAACCCTGCTCATTCTCGTATATTTGAGAACAGCATTCTTTGATCTACTGTGACAGAGGCAGCATCTTCTCAAAAGGACCTTTTTAGCTCCGAAGGATTATTTTAAAGATTAGTTTTATTTGGAGAAAAACAAAACAAAAAAAAAAACCAAGAAGGGGTGGGGAGGGGAATTTTACATAATAAAAGACATCTCCCAGGAAGTCCATGCAGATTACAAATCATTTTCATAGAAGATATTTTGTACAAATTTTACATGTTTTTTTTTCAGAATGTGTAAAACGCACCTCAATCCACTCATGAACTTGTCCTGATAGTAGAGAGACAGAATATTCAAGATTGCTGGAAGAGAATGCTTCTGGGATTTGCAAATTAGCAGTTTCTCTCCAGTACAGCTCCTCACTGTTAAAAAAGACTCAAAGCAATAATGCATTTCAAACCCATGTACTGCCCTCACCAGATCTCATCCCACTTTCCATCTCCCCATCTTTGAGAAATGACAATACTCTTTCCGTTTCTAAAAGCTGATTTAACTGTAGCTTAAAAGTTATGAAAATAAGACACACACCCCCCAACTGTACCAACTTTACAATATCCTGGATCCTCAATTTAATATAACTCAGGTTATTTCAAGAGTAAAATCACATTGTTCCTTCTCCCCAAATTATGTAAAATAGTCCCTGCTGAATGCATGCGCATCTCATAAAATCCAGCCAAGTCCTAGGCAAATACTTCCTTCCTATGTGACTATGCATTTGTAAACTGGCTATTAAACCATTGTGCTGCTTCAGTTCCCTGTACTGCAATTCTTTCTTCCCCTATGCATTTGCTCAGAAAAATGAAAAAACGCTAAAACAACAAGCAGAAATTCCTATTCCCAAGTTTAACTTCTGGTAGATGGCTATATTTTTGAAGAAAATTAAGAGGAAAGTCAAAAAGCCTGCTTATCCAAGTTCCGAACCACACCTAAGCTAGAGGAGGGAGATGAACCGTCACATAATGCAACAAAGGTGCTCCACCATTCTTTTGATGGCCCTTGCTCTCTTTTTTTTAAACAGTGCTCCAAATTGAAAAGGTGCTATTATTACTTTGTGACAGTGTCGTGATTGCCCTTCAATGATTAAAAGCGGGCAGAAGGACAGAAAAGACTTCCAAGGAAAGTTTATAATCTCCTAAAATTAAATTGCTCCCTAGCATTCCTTCATATAGCACAGTACCCTTGACGAAGGTTACTGGAAATTTAGGATGATGGAGCTTCAAACGTATAAAGTTATTTTCTGCATGGTCAAGCTGTATATTCTCCCTGCCAACACCACACAGAGCTCTAGTGACTACTGACGTGAAGGCCGATATTATACGAGCTGAATGAAAAGTTGCTTCCTATACTGGGAAGAATTTGTCAGTAACGCCAGTTGCTGGAGTGGCTGGGGATACAGGCCTGAAACTTCCAGGAAGAGGGTCCCAGGAGCAAAGGCCTTGCGTTCAGCCTCAGTTGCTTGGGACGTTAACACTTTCTAAAGGCAGATGATAGGAAGCCACCCATCATAGCAAAAGGGCAAGGCATGCACCTAAACTCCAGAGATACCTGTTGGGCAGAGTTGGTAATCTTCTAACTTGAAAGCTAACTTGTCCCTTCTTTCAACTAATTAAGATAATACTGCTTTCCCTCCCCAGTGCATTAACTGCTTTGAGAGTATATTATAGAAGCCACCCAAGCTACCAAAAGAGGGGAAAGAGACAGTTGAGCTGTCCCATATTCCCGATGCGCTCAGTCACACACTAGCCTACTAAAGCACTAGCCTTAGCTCTTAATGGAAAGGACCTGAGGCTCTGAATGTGATTGGAAGCAGCGTGAAGTAACATTCAAACACACACACTGGGCCTATTTCTTTCTTTCCTTTTTAAAAAGACACCTGCCATTTTTTTCCCCTCTTGCTATACTTTTTTTTTTTTTGCAGGGATTTCTCCAGTAAGTTCAATCAATACTTTAAAGGCTGCAGCAGCATGCAAGAGAAATTCTATATATATATATTTTCTTATTTTTTAAAGAAAGGTTTAAGAAAGGGCTCTCCCAGGAGATGTTGACTTGTAGGCTTTTATTTTTCTGTCTTGTCTGAATAAAGGTTTCGTTTTGCTCTCCAAAAGTTCCTGGATGGCAACCGGCTAGGAGACAACATGGAGGGGGATGGAGAATTTAGTCAGCATACTCTTCTCCTTCAGCTTCGTCATCACCATCCACTGACAAAGCAGCATACTTGCTAGCACAGCTAAATTTCTGCAAGAAAAGGTGGGGGGAGAAAATTAGCAGATATCAGAACACCGATGACTGTCGGTATTAGGTTTTTGGTTATTTGTACAATGTATTTCAGACCTTCTGTAAAGAATAGAATGGTATAGATGGTATTCTGTATTCTAGGCAGATAAAATGCTTTTTGTCAGAGGCCCCCAACCTTTTGGACACCAGGGACCGGTTACGTGGAAAGAGGTTTTTCTGCAGACCGGGCGTGGTTTTGTGTACTGCCTGCATCCCGCGGATGGGGCTTTGCTTGTTTGTGTGGCCCGACTGCTGGCATGCCACGGCCCGGTACCGGTCCACGGACCAAGGATTGTGGACCCCTGCTTTATGTAACAAGCAAAATGGTGATCGTGCCAAGCTATTCAGAATCCTTTAATCTGGAGACACTAAAGAAATGAACCAAAGGCTTTCTGTCTACCAGGCAAATTTTGCACCCCAGAAAGTGAATTCATTCTTTGTTATTCATTTGAAGTCAACTTCCATCCTTAGTTCCCCAAAGACAGTGGGATAACAAATATATAGTCCTTTTAAAAGCTGCTGTTCATTTTTAAAAAGAAGTCTGCTTCTATTATATTTATCATAATTACTGTTTCAAAATAATTCCTTCTATCATCTCAAGAAGCTTGCCTTCTACTTCAAAAGGTTTGGGACAAAAAAAAAAGCAGCTGTTCTCAACTTTATTAAGAAGCATTCACTAACACAAATGTCTCAATGGAAGATAGAATAACCCTAGCAGTGAAAGCACAATGCATAAAGTATAACTTCTCATTAATGTCATTTCTGTTTAGATACTGATAACTGCTGAAGCAAATCCCAGTATGTACCAACCCATTTAGTCAGGAAAATTGCCTAATCCTCTTTGTATTTAACTGTAATTCCCCCCCCACACACAAAAAAAATAGATTCAGTATTTACAGGGACAGGGTTCTCTTCAAATGTCTTTGGCTCAGATGCAGATCTTGAGTCATGCTCCTCCTGGCTTTCTTTCCTAAAAACGAACAATGCTACCATGTTAATTTAGCAAGCAAATTAAGAGAAATACGTTATCATTTGAGCATTAACTCTATCTCCAAGCCCCAATGCCAGGGAATAAAAAGCTAAGATAGTGCATTGCATAATTCACAAACAAACAAACACAAATTCCCAGTGTGTGGTAGTGGTACAAAATTAGAAATGCAGAGTTTTGGCTGCTCAGGAATAATTTCCCTGCTGATGGTTCTCCAGCACGCCCATTTTCCAGGAATAAAACAACTGAGTGTATTTATATGTGCGTGCAAAATAAATAGTGCCGTTTGTTATGATCGTTTTCTTCTTTCACAAGAAATGCGAACTGGAATGGTGTGTTCCATTCTGTTCAACAGCGGAGCACGACAGACAATGATTACCGATCCAAGTCTTGCCAATGGTCTCTGCTGCCTCCATCTCCAGGACCACGGCCAAAGCTCCCTCTTCGAACGCTCTCCTTTCCCCCATCAGGTCTGTTTTCATCTCCTGAAACAAAAGGGGTGGAGGGGAAGGGGAGGGGAGCTTCCATCATCCTATTCCGAAGAGGCCATATGGCAAGGCTTATTTGGCCTCCCTTCGCTTTCTCAGGAAACGTAACGGGGAGAGGCAGGACTTTTGCTCAAAACAGTCCACACCTCCCTGCAGGCCTCCCATGAAATTGTGCACATTCCAGCCTTACCTTTTCGCGGGGCATTTTTGGAGGACACTCCATCTTCTGATGGCACCACTTGACTGCCACTGCAACACAGAGGTAATACTTGAACTCATTTGTGCACACATGCACACCCCCCCCGTGCTATTATTAGGTCAAAGTCTTCTCTCTTTAGTACAATTAATATAATCTTTTCAACCTACATCTGGAGGCAAAAGTACACCACACAATAACAACCCCACATTCACCAACTAAATACTGCAAACTTAAGTAATTTGGACCCTCAAGGGAAAATAGCTACCAGTTATCGGTAGTCCTCAATGTACGACCACAACTGACCCCAAAATTTCTGTTGCTAAGTGAGACAGCCGTTAAGTGAGTTTTGCCCCATTTTAAGACCTTTCTTGCCACAATTTATTAAGTGAATCACTGCAGTTGTTAAGTTAATAACAGGGCTGTTAAATGAATCTGGCTTCCCCACTGACTTTGCTCGTCAGAAAGTGGCAAAAAAGGGATCGCAAGATCCCTGGGGACACTGCAACTGTCATAAACAGGAGTCAGTTGCCAAGCACCTGAATTTTGATCTCAAATGATCACTGGGATGCTGCAATGTTGGTCAATGTGAAAACCGGTTGCAAGTCACTTTTTTCAATGCCGTTGTAAAACTTTGAAGGGTCACTAAATGAACTGTTGTAAACCGAGGACTACCCTGTATTTGGAAATGCTTTCTCCAAGTAATGGATCATTATACTTCATTCATGCCTCACATACTGCTACAAAATAATATCAGATCTTCTACCTGTTGCATGGTAGCTTGGCCTTGCAAATATTTTAATTAACACAAAGCCATTTTTTAACCAGAAAGGCAACTACGGGTAATCCTTGACTTACAACCAGTCGCTTAACACTCAATTACGATGGACTCAAGAAGTTATTTCTGGCCCAGCCTTGAAATTATGATTGCTTTGCCATCCACAGGCTTATATCATTGCATTTTGGGTGCTTAGCAACCAGCTTATATTTATAGCTATTGCAGCATCCTGTGGTCAGATGACTGTCTTACAATTTTGCTATTTTTTCCCCTAAACAAACACCAAAAACCCCACTGGATAAAATGTATTCACACTTATGACCCTGTAACTTCACTTTAATGACTGCGGTGACTCACTTAATGGTCATAAAAACGGTCATAAAATCAAATCTGGTTATGCGGTGCCCAGATTTACAACCACAGCAACTTATAACCAAAATTCCAACCCCAACTGTGGTTTAAGTTGAGGACTACTTATAGAGTGCCTTCAAATATATATACATATTTTTAAGATGGTTTAAATTAAAAACAGCAGATGGTTTCAGTCTATGTGAATGTGTATATCTATCAGACTTAATCAGAAGTTGTAGAAATGTTGACTTTGTGCCTGGAAGCACTGAGAATCTGAATGGTGAGTAATAGGCTACGTCTCAAAGTAGTCATGAATGCCTATTGCTTCAGAAACCAGCTCATGCTAAGGCAGGGGTCTTCAAACTTGGCCCTTTTATGACTTGTGGACTTCAACTCCCAAAATTCCTCAACCTGTTCTAAGACAAAACTAATCTCAGACACTGATAGGCTTATTTTATCTCAGAAAGAACTAATTAAGCTGGAACAGCTGGTGAAAGCTATGCCAAGAATGCTTTTGCCCAGTTGGGCCTAGTAGACCAATTGTGGCCATTCCTGGCAATGGTCACTCCTACTCTCATCACTTCATGACTACTGTACTAAGCTCTGTATAGGTTGTCAGTGAAGACCACCTAGAACAGGGATGTCAAACTTGCAATGTCACGTGACGTGTCGCGATGTATCGTGACTTTTTTCCATTACTTTGACAAAGACTTCCATAAAGGTTGTATTTTAAAAAAGCCCAAGTATAAGCAAATGTGAACTTCTGGTTGCCCTTGCTCAGAATTTTTACACTTTCTTATTTATTTAAGCTATATTTCATTTATTAAAGACCAGAACTAATGATTATCATCTTACAGAGATGTATCACTTCAGTCACTAAGCAGTTATTTTCTGATGCAGCTCCGTCCATCCATCCATCCACTTACTCTTTGCTATATTTATATCTCATCTTTTATTCAGGAGTTCAAGCAATGTATTTATTACAATTACACTGAGCCATAATTCTAAAACATTTAATATGTTCCCCTCCCATTCTTTTCTCAAACATCTCCTCCTTTTGAGATAGGTTAGGCAGAGAGTGAGTGACTGGTGACTGGCTGACAATTACCCTATTAGTTTTTATGGCTATGAGTTTCCTTGCTTCAATACGTTAACTATCCCATCATAGCAGTCCCCAAATATTTAAGGAGACTTCTTCAACTTAATGTTTTTCCTGTTTGTGAGAACATGACAAATGCAGCTGAATAATTAAAACCATTTAAAGCGGCAAAATATTGCTTTCATACATGGAACTCATTCACACTAGCAGCTCTTTTTTTTTTTTATTAAAGTTACAGAAGGTCAGGTTGTTCTGCTAAAGAGAACAGGCAGGTAATTTCTTTAAATAGTTTAAGGCAGGATTGTCAAACTGCCGGCCCACAGGCTGGACGTGTCACAATGAAACCACACCCACCCCATTGCCAGCAATGGGGAAAAAGCTCCATTGCGAGTTTGACATGTCTGGTTTAAGAACTATTTCCTGAATGATGGGCAATAAGGCAGCAAATCCAGTTTTATTTATTTACACAGAACATGAGTATACCTGCTTCACATTGGGGAATGGAAATCTTACCATTAGACATGCTGGCTGGATCTGATAAGAACTGGGAGTCCAACAAACTGCAACCTATCCCCACCTGCTCTACCATTTTTTCTTCTTCTGAAATTGTGGTAGAAATTTATATTTCAGAAGAGTCCTGATGAAGCCACAACACTGGTGAATCACACAGCATTTTGCCACGTTTTCAAAACCCACGTTGCTGTAATGTCAGTTCTTGCTTTAAAACAGGAAAAGGGGGAAAGCCCATAGCATTCTCCATTCTCTAAACTCACCTTGTTGGGGAATGCTGATCGGAGTCAGAACTCTGTGAGAGTGCTGGGTGCGAGTTGCTGCTTCGTTTCACCCAGGCATTTTCCTTTGGAGGAGGAGCTGGCATTACTTTCAAAGGAAGCTTCTCCTCTCTGGGGCTCTTGGAGGTTGGGGAAAGGCTTTCGTCCTCTTTGCCGAGGCTTTCGTTCTCCAATGACTTCTCGCTCTCCCTCCTTCGTGAAGCTACAATGGTAGAAGAAGAGACAGAAACTGAGTTTCCTTCCACAGCCAGGCCATTCGACGTATTTTTGGTGTCGTGGAATGTTTCAGGATTAGCCAGCATGTTTCGCCAAAAGGTGCCATCAAAGTTACCCCCCCCCCAAAAAATTGCAAAGTGTAGTGCGTAATTTTGGGGGGGGGGGGGAAATCCATTTGGATTTTATGTTCAATCCACAAGGCGTAACAATGGATTGATTTAAAGCCAAAATCCATGGGTCCCAAATTGGGTGCTATAGAACCCCCCACAGAATTTGAACAGCCTTCACCCTGCTGAACTTTAAATAAGCCTTAAAGAACTGGCTCTTTCCCCAAGCTTTATGAATAATTCAAACATCTGTTCCACTGGCATCAAATTTTGTTCCTTTTTTGTTGTCTACTCTTTCTTTAGTTTTTAATCTGTATGCCACCCAGAGTCATCAAAAAATTGGGCAGCTTTATAAATGTGATTATAAATAAATAAAACAGAAATCTTTAAGTCTAACTAGGCTGCATATATCTGTCGCAGTCTAAAGCCGGCATGTCCAACCTGCAGTCCACAGTCCACATGTGGCCCTGGATAGCAAATAATGACCCCCTGCCCAAGATTGTAATAAATATAAAAAAATAAAGGAAGTTTGTTATTTATATATATTATATATTTTATATGTGGCCCACGGCCATTCCTCTTGACTCAATGACTGGCCTAAATAGAATATGGTAATCAGGCGAGGGAAGAGCCACCCACTGTTAATTATCTTTGTCGTATTAAAATAATTTGATACTGTTCTCTTCCCCAAAGTTCTGGCTTTCCAAATTTTGCAAACATTTTCAGGCTGCAGATATATCGGGCCTATGAAGCTTAATGAAATTGGCTTCATTTATTATTGTGGCAGACCTACTGATTTCTACAATATGGTTGTATTGTGTAGTAAGATGCATTAAAGATACAAATCCCTTGAAAATGATTTGAAAGAAACATTTTGGACCAGGCTGAATACAGCACCAACACCTCTCTACTCTTCAATGAGGCAGCATTACTTTTTTCAGATGTCTGTGGCAGCTCAAAAAAAAAGATGCCACAGCTTTAAGGAATCAGCTAATTAAAGTTAATATAATTCATACATCTGTGTGGTGTCATATGTTTAGGAGTATAAATCCAAGATACCTTTTTAAATTTTCAATATGACTGAATCTAGCTTACACTCCCTAGATCAAAGCTGTAATAATGAGGTTTCTCCATTGATTGAAATGATTGTGATCATACTCAAATAACCAGATAACATTGTTTAGGAGTCTTAGTAAAGGGAATTATGAATTAGGGAAGAAAAGACTGCAGGTCACACTGACTGTTCAATGCTCTTATTAGCTTCTGCTAAGGCTCATAGTTGTGTTTGACCTTGATTTCTTATCCTGGCAACATGCTCTCCACCCCCACAAAGATACGTATTTGGATGGATTGTATATGAGGTGACCTTTTGGATTAAGAGATTCAGTTACCATGAAAAAGAAGGAAAGATGTCTGGATGAAGGGCTTTTCTTGATCATGCTGAGAATTTCATTTAAAATCAGCAACCGATCACAAATGAATGAACTTATTTCAACCCCAGAAAGAACTTACAATTGTTGCAACTTTCTAAAAATAAAAGTTCTATGGTCTTATATTATAGAATGATTTTGTCTGTTTCATTGGGTACTGGAAACTGAGGACACCATGAACTTGCCCCTTGGACCTGAAAGTAAAATGCAACGTATTTCCTTAGTTTGCTACTTCTTAAGCTCATCGTTGGATGTTCTAGACTTGTGCAGACTTCCTCAAGGGAGGAGCAGAGTTACCAGAATTGTTGAATAATGGACTCTGAGGGTTATTTTACTTTTGAAAGAATTGGAAGCCGCACTATATCTCCAACCTTCCTCTTTTAGAGAGGTTTGTTGAGAAGATGATGGAAATTCAACCAAATTCTAAAGGAAACAGATTATCTGATCTTTTCAATCAAGGTTCAGACCAGTCATGAGACATAAAACAGCATTCATCACTCTAGGGCAGGGGTGTCAAACTGGTGGCCTGCGGGCCAGATTCGTCATGTGCAGGCCATCCCCACCCTTGTTCCACAAAGGCAAAAAACATTGCGATACGTTACGTGACACGATTGAATTTGACACCCGTGCTCTAGTCTAGGGGATTATCTTTGTCAGGGCCTAGATAGGGGACACATATCCCTCCTGGCCCTTTTGGACTTATTCAATGTTTTCAGGACTACCAACCAACCAAAGTTTAGGAAAGGTTCTTGTAATGGAATATAGTAGACTGGATTCCCAGGAGGGAGAGGGTGTATTCCAGAGGAGTCAGAGACAACTCAATTCAGATAGTTTGTGTGTGTGTGAGAGAGGCGAAGACAGCCCTCCCCTAATAGTTCCCAGAATCGTTCCCGTAATGTAGATTCGTGTAGGTAGTCTACTTCAGTTTGGCAAGATTATTCTATAGGCTTAAAACAATAAATAATCTGCTATATCGCTTTCTTCTTTGGAAACTGACACTTCTTTTGCTCACTAAGACCCCAGAAAGAGTGGAAAACAAAAGAAACAGAGGACAAGAATTAGCAGAACTTTGCAGTAATGGTAGCAAATCTCCAGAAGAAATCATTCAGGAGATACTTCTACGGCAGGTGCACCCAATACACACAGCTGTATCCTGAACAAAACAAAAGTAAGAGAGCTAAGAGCAAAGATTTACTCTACCTTTTGATGGGTGTAACTCCATCCAAAACAATCCATGTGTTTCCAAATCTGGATGCACATAGTTATGAATCTCAACCCCAGATATACACATTGTAAGACTGGCTAAATTTAGAACAAGCAATAGGGCTTTCCGGCAAGAGAAAGGTTTAACTTCAGGGCCCACTAATATTTTGATGACTTACTTCTTCCTGTTGGGCCAGTCCCCACAGAAGGAGTTGTGCTGCCAGTCTGTGAGGATTCGCTTCCTGTCCGTGACCGCTCTTGATTCTCTTCGCTACGCCAGCTGGGGTGTCTAAGCGCACACACAGAGAAACAAAACCACCAACTAAGTGAGGGTGCACTTTTAGGTCTCTGTTACAAAACTGCCCTCCCCACCATGCAAGTATCACAGCAAGTGTTTTTCAAGGCAAATTAAAGACATGGGGCTGTTCAGGAGACAGGCCTACTTGGCAGCTTTGACTAAGTGGCAGAGGAATACAGGCAGTCCTCAACTTACCAACAGTTACGACTTCGTCGAAAAAAAAGTGACTTAGGATTGTTTTTCACATGTATGACCGTTACAACATCCCAACGGTCGCATGATCAAAACAGGGATGCTTGGCAACTGGTTCGTATTTATGACGGTTGTAGTGTGCGGCGATCGCACGGTCCCCTTTTGTGACCTTCTGACAAGCAAAGTCAATGAGGAAGTCAGATTCACTTAACAACTGCAGTGATTTACTTACAAACGTGGCAAGAAAAGGTCGTAAAGTGGGGCAAAACTCACTTAACAATTGTCTCACTTAGCAACAGACGTTTTGGGCTCAATTATGGTCATTAAGTCGAGGACTACCTGTGTCTGTAGTATACCACTTGCAAGATGGTCAGCCTAGGTTTGCATTAAAGAGGCTTCCTTTCCGAGAACTGCCATTTTACCCCGGAGAGAACATGACCTTCCCCTGCTCACCGTTCCCGGGGCCGTCTGTCTAGCCTGGGCTTATCATCTTCCAGTTGGCGCTGCAGCTTCTCTTGCTCCTTCTGTAGCCTTTCTTCTACTTCACGCTCTCTTGCAGCGGTGTCCACAGGCTTGGCTCCTCCAAAGATGGAAGCTGCACGGCTAGACTGAGTCGCAGGTGCTGCTACGCCTGTATCTTCTTCCTTGGGAGTACTCCGGGGCTTCAAATTCAGTTTGGGCCTCTGAGTAGCACCTAAGAGAAAAATAGTAACATAAAGTTGAGAGAAATCAATGGTATGCACACAGGTACATGCGCACGTAAACAAAAGACACCGATGAATCCTAAAGAACTGGCTTCAGGTCGAGGAAAATCCAACAGCACAAGACTCATGAAAATTCATATAGCTTGTTTTACCTAAGCAATTAGGTGAAACTGGAGGCCACAGAGAACTTGAAAACTACCAAGAATCAAAAGACAAATCTTTCTGAAAAAGAGCATTTCCCCCCCCCCCCCCCACACGCAACAGCAATCTACTTGACATTTCTCCCACTAACTTTGTGTTTTGAGGACAGCATATTAGAACATAGTGGGATATGGGTAGGAAAGAAAAAAGGACTGCTTGGGTGGAAACTTAACTACAGATGGGCTCCTCCATGCCTAAGTGAGATCAAAGGTATGGGACAGCAGAACCGATTGCAGCAACAACAAAGGGTCAGCTCTCCTTTCTTGATACTATGAAAAAGTGTCAAGCCTACCTCTCTCATCCCGCCGGCTGTCATCCCTGCTATAGTCATCCCGCGAGCTGCTGCTGCTCCACCTATCCATCCGATCATCCCGCCTCTCGTAACGGTCCTCATAGCGGTCACCGCCACCCCTGAAATCATCGTCCCGGCGGTACCCACTGCCAAAGGCTCTTCTGCCACTGCCACTGCCACTGCCTGACCTCGAGTCGTAACCTGCACAGGAGTAAAGTTATCCCAGTTCTTTCTTGCACAATAGGAAATGGTTTATAGCGGATGACAAAAAGCTTATGGAATAACATTCATTTAAAGTTTTCACAAGACACTTCATGCAATTTGCTGCAGCAACATTAGCATAGTGATTCCTTTGTAAAATGCCTCGAGGAAAATCATAACATGGTCATCTCAGGAAACCTAGATCAGGAAAATCATTCCCATTAAAAGCACATCTTCCTAAAGTCCCTGATGACGCTGCACACAGTCAGAACTGGATAGTAATGCTAGATTAAGGTTTCAAGAGGATTTTATACACAATTTGCAAGACAATCCAAGAGACGCCTCAGGAAAGCAGTGTAAAGCTAAAAGAAAAACAATGGAAAAAGTCTAGACAGTGTAACTAACAACAGCTAAAGGGTTAGCTAACTAGAACTCGCATATAAGTATTTCCCCATGTTTACCAGTTTCTTACAATCATGCTAAGCCATATTGGGGGTTATTTGATTTTGTGTAAATTCAGTCAGCTGAGCTTCTTCAATAAACAATTAAACAGACCCTTAGAGCTATATTTCATTCCATATTGAATCACCCAACCTTGGAGACAAACCAACAGTCCTACCATTACCAGAAGCTAGGAAAGAATCAGGACCCAGAAGTAATCATCTCTTATTTACTTTTAAATCTTATATATCCCTAACCAACAGAACAACAAATGAGAGTGTGACAAGATGCTATTGTGCAGGAACAAGTAAGACTCAACATGTACAGTGGGAAATATTTGCAAATGTGTTTTTTTTTTCAAATGATTGCTTCTGAGCTTCCGAGATCACATTTTCTCCTTAACATTTTCTCTGCATCTCACATCTAAACTCCAATTATATTTACTTTCGAGGCAGAAATGCCTCTAAAGTCCTCTATGATAAATCTGGACTATTTTGGGCTAGAGTAATGCAGGAGGATACAAGAATGCAAAAGCTACACAGATACAGTTGTATGAAAATCAAGTTGCCTACATAACATCTAAGCGCCAACCCCAGAATGAAATCAGCCAGCTACAGTACCTCCCCTGTCATAGTCTCTACTACGGTCATCGTAACGGTCTCGGCCTCCAAAGCGATCCGTATCTCTTCGGGGACCATCACGGTACCGGTCTGAATCATAGCGATCCCGATCCCGATACCCTAATAGAGAAAAGAAAACGTATTTAATTTTAGACAAGAGAAACTTTGAGTGGTTACTTTCATAAAAGCATCCAACATAATGAGGCTTCAGGCTCTATCAAGGATTGCTTTCTTATGCGTTAAATTGATATCCCCTTCGTGTTTGTACAATACACTCAAGGCAACTTATAGCAATGCAAAAGATAAAGCATAATAAACTATAATTAAAATGCATAAGTAAAAGCAGTATGATTAGAATTAATGCAAAAGTTTGATGAAAGGGATTTTACTTTGCCATTTTCATAAACTTTGTGAGATTGGAAGCTCAACGGCTGATTTTTGTAATCTTACAGCACTTTCATGAAAAACAATACTGTTCCATTTTGTCCAGTGAGAAAGCACTTGCATTTGAAAACACTGCCTATACCAAAGATATATGGTGAATTGCTTCCATAAAACGATTAAACTTTATTAGATACCCTGGAAAAAAGAATTCAAATTATGGGGTAGGCTCTCACCATGCTTTTAATTGCTGGACATAGTATACAAAGCAGTCTTGATCGGGCCCATTAAATTGTATGATTTAGCTTTTCTATATTGCTTTTATATGCTTATTTCGTTTATCTGCCTTTATTATTTTTACAAATAACTCAAAAGTAGTGATCACATTCAACAAACCTTCCTCGTTCTATTTTCCCCACAACAACCACCTTGTAGGGCGGGTTGGGCTAAGTGTTGTGACTGGTCCAAAGTCACCCAGCCGGCTGGCTTTCCTGACTAAGGTGGGACTTGAACTCAACACTCTCCCAATTTTCTAACCTGGTGCCTTAACCACTGGACTAAACTGGCTCCTGCATGCTACATTAAAGTCAGTCCTTGAGTTACACAGATACAGTTGTATGAAAGTTGCAATATAGTGACTGTTCGAAATTACAGTGGCACTGAATGAACGGTACTTACACCCGGCTCCCCACAATCACACGATAAAAATCCAGACACTTGGCAGTCTCCTTGCATTTACAACCACAGGAGTGCTTCAACTCCCCTACCCCCCTTCCCACATCTCTGCCTTTTTGGCCCCCTGCCTTCAGCTGCCCCCGTCTGACCTTCCCCGTCTTCTTGCTGGGCGTGTTCTGATCAAGCATGCCTAGCCTGGCCCTTCATGAGACAGGTGCTGGTTGCATGAGGCCTCCCTTCTGGGATCGCCTGCAGTGGGTTCCCTCAAGAGACCTTGGGAAGAAAGCATCATGTGGCCAGCAGCTGCTAAACTGATGAGCTGGGGCGCCTGCAGCTTTGCACTGCGCTGTTGCTTGGCTGGGGCAGCTAGGTCTTCCTGGGATGGCTGTGGCTTTTGCCCTGCTGGGCTGGGCAGCTGCAGGTTCGCATTGCGGGGCTGGGCTGGGGTGACGGAATGCTGTAGCTCAGGGGCTTCTTGCAGCAGCTCAAGCTGGGGGATGCCAAGAAGACCCCAAGCTACACAGTTCTGGGGCTCTTTACTGCCCCACAAGGCAGGGTGGAAGGGCAGTAGGAGGGAAGATGAAATGCAGGCAATCTCTTACTTGTGGAAGAAGAGAGGCTTGGGACTAAGAGGGATCAAGCCAGGAGTGGATTGGATCCAGATGAGTCACTGATTAGCGATTTGTGGGACATGATTAATGATGGCAACAAGGGGTGTCAGGATTGCCATTGCTAAGTGACGCAATCACATGCTTTATGACATTGCTTTATAATGAAAATTTCAATCCCAATTGCCTGTATTATGGTGTTTATCAGACTTCCTCAAACTTGTTGGGCAACTGGATGTATTTGGAAATCTAAGTACATATTTACGGGTACTCTTGCAAAATGGTTACTTTGGAGGGCATGACAAAACAGTCACTAGAAAGTAAACTGCTGCCCATCATATCCAATATAAGAGCCATGCTGGCACGGTTAGAATGCAGTACTGCAGGCTAACTCTGCTCACACTGCCAGGAGTTTCATTCCTTCGATCCTGACCGGCTCAAGGTTGACTCAGCCTTCCATCCTTCCGAGGTCAGTAAAATGAGGACCCAGATTGTTGGGGGGGGTGATATGCCGACTCTGCAAACTGCTCAGAAAGGGCTGTAAAGCACTGTGAAGCAGCATATAAGTCTAAGTGCTATTGCTATCCTTGTTTAGGACTGGCAATTCTATTGCTAAGCAGCATGGTTATTAAGCAAGATATCACATGACTGCAATCTGCAGTTTTACTGTTGGTTTCTCCACTATGAAGCGTGCAAATGGCGATCACGTGACTAAGACCAGTTACAACTGGCAACAGTAGTAAATGCAGGGACCAGCTGTAAGGTTGCTTTTTCAGTGCTGTTGGTAACTTCAAATGATGCTAAAACAAGGCTGTTGTTAAGTTAGCCTCCTTCAATATTTCCTATCACTTTACTTGCTTCTTCTGGGAGGAAATCGGCAAACTTTGTTACCCTATAATCACCTAGTATTTTCATTTTCTAAAATACTCATGCAGGGTCTTGAGACATTTTCAATTTGTGTCATTTATGGCTGCAAGGGATGAAGGTAGCATTTTAAACTATGTCTAGAGCACAAATTATTGTTTTCTAAATAGAGGACCCTGCATAAAGGAAAACAATGGAAAAAATAGGAAGGCTGTTTAGGCAAAAAGAGGAAACGTAGTGGAGCTTGAGCGGTACAAAAAATACTAATCTGCTCCTCTTAGGCAAAACAGATGCTGCATGGCTTCATTATGCTGCCTTATCCGGGTTAACACTAGTTATCTTAAAACATTTACCAGAAAAACACTACGGAATTTACAGCTGAATTTGTACATTTTCAGAACCAGACCAATATAGCTAAAATCAAAATAGCTGAAACAGAACCAAAACCTGTGCTCCTGTCGCTAATGGAAGCCTAATGACCAACAGATGGAAGCAGCTTGTGGTTAATATTCCAGCTATCATTGTTTACGTACTGTAGTTGGGAATAGGCAAGCCTTCCAATACTAGGGATATTCATTTTTAGTTCGGATAGAACTTGTTCATCATCTATGGATCCTTTCCTCACAGCTCTTGCTCAAAGTATAAATGGTTGCTATGACCAGGAGACTCTCTGCAGTTACATCTGGCAAGCTAATTACAACGTCTTCTAGACTGAGAGAGTTCTGCCTTTTAGCTGGAATCCTGTCTTTGAAAATCACCTGGAAGCTCCAGCTAGATCTAAGTCAACAGCCTGAGCTGTGTCAAAAGCTTCAAGGTTCTCCTGTTATACTTCTACTCTGAGAGCTGCTCTTGCTAGTTTTTTTTCTAGCTAGAACTTACGATGCTCACTGTCACCTCAAAGGCTTTTATAACTTAGGACCTGAATAACTACAGAACTGCCTCTAATGCAGACATATCAAACTCGCGATGTCATGTGACATTGCGCAACGTACTGGATCTTTTCCCCCATTGCCGGCAACAAGGTGGGTGCGGTTTCCTTGTGAGGCCGGCAGTTTGGCACCCCTGCTCTAATGGCTTCTGCCTATCCAATAAGATCTAACAGCTGAGAGCCAGTTTGGTCTAGTGACGAAAAGCACCAGAAATAGAAAGCAGGAGACGGTGAGTTCAAGTCCCACCTTAGCTATGAAAGCCAGCTGCGTGACCTTGGGCCGGTCATTCTCTCTCAGCCCAACTCACCTCATAGGGTTGTTGTTGTGAGGAAAATAGCAGGAGGAAGATGTGCTTGGGTATGTTTGCTGCCTTGAGTTATTTGTAAAAACAATAAAGGCGGGATACAAATCAAACAAACCAACAAGGTGTATTCTCAGGGCTCTTTTCTTAAGGGCCATCATCTTCTACAGCTTTGGAAATGAGCTTTCTTAGTAGCACTCCCTCCTCTTTGGAACAGCATACCTCCTAAAATTAGATTGATCCATACCTGGAAGCTTTAGAAAGACTATTAACATGTGGCTTTTCCGGACAACCTTGGGTAGGAAATGGATATGAATCCTGAGCCCTTGAGCCTAGTGTTATTGTAATTGCTAACTGTAATTTAATTGGCCTTTTGGTATTGTTTTTAGCCTCCTTATTATAAGCCTCTCCTAGAGGAAACTGTAAAAAGTGTTTTATTTCTGGGAAGTGAAGCAGGTTATAGTCCGGAGATGCTGCCTTTCTGAGATGGCCTCGGTCCTCTGGAATGGCCTCTCCTGGGAAGTGAGACTGCATCCAAATTAACAGCCTTCCAGAAGTTAGTTAAGACTAAGTTATTCTGGCTTTGAATTGTGACATCATCGGGGATATACGATGCAATTTTAATTTAAATCCATTTTAACCTAAATTTTTACGAACCTTTGCTGTATGCTCTAATTGTAGTGACCTGTCAAAAGTTGCAGAATGTAGTGGCATGTGGATTAAATAAATACTATTAAAACTTAAAAATGATTAAAGGTGTGATTGCTACCGAAGGACATCTGACAGGGATTAGCTGGCTTCCTTGTGCAGTTGGGTTGGCCACTGTAAGAACAGATTGAACTAGATGGGACCAATCCAGCAGGGCACTGCTCATGTTCTTATGAAAACCATTCAACTGTCGGTAGCCTAGTAATATATCTGCCGGCAGCTCAGCGTTAACAATATTTGTTTCAGATTTTCGCAGGAAATTACAACAGTGCAAGAACTCACTGTCTCCAAAGCTATCCTCGCTTCTGCGAGGAGGATAATCATCAAAGCTATCTGTAGCAGGACGTGCCCTCCAGTCAGTCTCAAATCTTTCTGAATCCCGGTTACGATCACGATCTCTGCCAAAAGAACGATCATCCCTATCTGCAGGAAGAAGGCAAAATGACCCACAATGTTTAAATAGGCACATACAATTCATCCAGTTTCATAGAGGAAATTATAAGTCCTCCTAATCAGAGCAGATGCATACATGGCATTCAAACCGAAGCATGCTGTTCAATACTGTTGCAACAAAGAATTATTTTGGACAAATGTGTGCAGGTCTTCTTTCAGCCATTGTAAAAGGAGGAACAATGGAAGCAGAATCTAATAATCCCAGTGCTAGAACAATACAGTTGGGTATGGCATGACAAAATAACTTAGTGTGAACAGTAGTAGGCAAAAAACAACAACTGCTGAGTTGGTTTATTGGTAATTCTAAAAAACAGGACTCCTCTAGTCCCTGACATAGGACTTGAGAGGCATTTCTAATAGATGTTCCCTGCATTCTTGGACACAGGTATTTCTAAGCAAAACTTGCAACTTGTTATTCTACAGTGCCTAGAGTCACTTCGTGTGAGATGGGAAAGCCATATAAATCAAACGGATGGATGGATGGATAGATGGACAGAGACAAAGGAGGGCTGAACTTTGGTATCAAGAGGGCGAATAGAAAAATTGGCTTACTGTAAGAAGGGATAAATTCGTCCAATTTCCATAATACATTTCCATACCAGCTGAATATATATCTGAATGTATGTAAGTCTCTACTTACTGAACCCCAATGCTTACCTTTATCCTGAGCTTGATCAGCAACATCCACTCGTATTCTCCTGTTCCCTAGACACTAGATATGCAACAAAATAGTTGTCAAATTCAAATATGAAATTATATTTAGCTTATACAGATGGAATTACTTAGTGGCTGGGTTTATATATTACGCCCAGCCACACTTGGTTTTAGCTATGATTTAGTCAACCATTTGATTCATCGTGCTAATTTGTATGACATTGCAAACTACGATGGCTTGGATCACACATCATGTTATGTTGTAATTTTATGTAATGTGAGTACCAACAGCTCTAAATGTTGACAAAGTTGTGCTAGCAGAGATGCGTGTAAATACTACCCATTAATGCTCACACATTTGATTACAAGAAACACAATTGTGTATCACCTTAAGAACAAATACATTTATTTTATTATTTTTAATCCACAATATTCAAGGTGACACATGACATTTCATTATTTTTCTGCAATAAATAGCATGTCTATTTTTCTGAATACTGAAATTTGTCCCATCTTCTCCATTATAATTATAGATTTTCACTGATGCAACTATATTCAGGATCATCACATGAACAGGAGATGCATCAAATTAAAATTAGCAAGTATTCTCTCTTGGAATCTGAGGTTCCCAAAATGTTAAGCTATCGAGTTACTTTAAACTAAAAATAGATTGGATGGCATCCTTTTCGAAAAGGTAAATTAGATTATACAGAATTTAAATGGTCAAATTTAAAATGGTCAGATTTTATATCAAAGCTCTATGTCACATCCTGGACAGAGGAAACCTAATAATCTTAGGGCCTTGAGATATTCCATAAGGACCATAAAATGTGGCTAACTTTATTCTGATTCTTTCTCTGTTCCATTCAAATACAACTTATATGTCTTTGAAGGCTAAACAGTTTACTATCAAAGAACAAGGCTTACAAGTAATGTGTCTAAGGAACTGTCACTCCTGTATATATATATGTATATAAGCAGCTATACATCCTGTCTCAAACAACTAGAAAATAAAGAGCAACCCCAAACTATAAAGCACTAACATAAACTCATTAGATGAGATCCGATAAGATCAATTATAATCAGCCTAGAATAAAAGTAAACATAAAACATATCATGTGTGGCTAATTTTACTATCATTCATGGAGTCCAAAAAGGAAGAGCAAAGAGGATTTATGTGTCTTCACATGATTAACTGATTTGGGGCCATCAAATTATTTTCAACTCCTAGTGATTAGACAAACAGACAGATGCCATCATATATTTCATTTAGTTTCAAATACTTGATAGGGACACCTGGATCTTATATAATTGGTTATCTTTTTGATTGAGTTCTTTCCCTGTGAATATAAACTGAATTATGTCTTTAAAATGAAGTCTTTTCTTTAAAACTTAAATGAAGATTTCACAGGTTTAACTCTTTTGACTGTTCTTAGCAGTAATGGATGTTAAAATGCCAAGAGCAGGGTTAGAGACTTCACTTGCATTTGACAAGTTTCAACTCACCTCTTCATTGAAGCTCAAGGCACGGAGCAAGGAGTCTAAATCTTCAAACTCAGCATATCCAAATCCTTTCAACCTCTCTGGGTTACTAGGCTCTCGGGGCAAACGAACAGCACTTATCTGCAGCTAAATATGAAGGGGGGAAAAATTCAGTAGTCATTTCATATAAAAGTAATATAATGATAGCATTACAGTCATAATTGAAAAAAGTGCGGTTAAAAATTATTTGTGGTTCCCCACTTTGCCGTTGTTTAGAAGAGCCATGAAGAATGAGAGTGAGGGACAGTGGGACCTCCTCGCTTCAATGCGCTTGCCATATTTTATCTTTAATGGATTTTACTATAATTTCTTTGTTGTGGGCTGCCTAGAATTGTTGAGAGTGGGCAGCAGACAAGTTTAATAAATTATTACAAAAACGGCAATCAATTAAAAAATAAAAATCATTGGTTACTGGTAACAGGCAGAGCGAATCACTTGAAAGAAAGACAATAATGGATGCAAATACTAAATTTCATTCTTTAAGCCAAGTCACTTATTAAGACAGAACTGAGTTACATTATCCCAGAATCAATATATTGCCCCTCTTTTCTGCAATTATCAGAATTTGGACAAACAAATTCTGGACAAGACAAATATTTAAATTTGTAGTGATTTGGAAAATTGCCTAGGATCTGCAATGTTACAGCAAGGGAGAGATTTCAACAGCTTTTTGAATGACACAATTTTTCCTGTAAAATTATTTTAAGATAGCTTATAGCAGATCCATGAGTATTGAAAAGAAATTTAACACTTTAAGGGCAGCTTCATCCGCCTGTCCTGGCCAGAATTTCCAAACAAAAGGTTATTACTGTTGTGATCTGTGAATCCGTAATAAGTGCAGAGTGATTAGAGCGGCAATTCCCAAATGATATGCCACAAGAGAACTGCCAGTACTATGAAAATAACTGCTACTGTGAGCCGAGGAAGCAGCTGCTCACAGAAAAAGCTGTCTGTTTCCTCTTTTCAGCTCTATGCTCTTCAATCCAAATCTAGATGGGTGGATAATTCTATCCAAAGTTTGACTAGATCACTCATATCATTAATAAACTCCCCCCAAAATTTTTTTTCCTAATCTCAGACTGCAGAACAGTCAGAACAGTGATCTGAGTACAATCTCAAATTTCTTGTTTAGGACTTCTAAGTTTTAGGCTTAAAAAGAACAAATGTATTTAAAAAGTTCGGATTTTTTTTTTCTTTTCAGGTTCTTGGAAGTTTCCCCTATAGACTGAAACGTGTTTGCAAAAAAACCTGAAGAGATACCCTGAATTCACTAGTTTTGTGATAGCACAAATAATCATGGTAGCCTTTTTAATGTTTCTATTAAAAGCAAACTCCCCAGAGTAGAGATACTTAAGACAACACTTGAGTACACAGGGCTGTTATGCAAGGGGTAATCTCCACTCTTAAGATTTTCTAGCATATCAATTTCATTATTCCACATAGCACCAAGAAGAAATAAACATGTCGCCTGCAGGGAAACTCAAGTTACCTCTTATTATACTCACATTAAGTCCTCTGAAGAAATCCTTAATGGATTCTTCTGTTACATCATAGGGCAAATTTCCCAGAAAGGCAGTGTAGGGGGGTGATTTTGGGAGACGGCTTCTGTCAATATTGGGCTCCCGAGCTGCCCGAGGTGCAGTAGGCAGGATGGAACGGTCAATTGGAGGGGCTCGATACACATCGTCATCATTGCTATGCCAGGTGGTGGAAACTAGGAAAACATTTTTTGCACATTAACAAATCCAAAGTCTTTACAAATAAATACTACGCTGATTTGACGTAGCAACGCCATTATGTTTCTAGGGATGGAGAGAATACCTTGTCAAGAGCGATATTTGTTTACTTTCAATAAGAGTGTTCTGTGCAAAACACAGGCAATTTCTATACTATGTTACAAATAAAATTCCTTCAAATTTCTCTTTTATCAAAAACACTATAAAACACTATGTGAAACCAACGGGAATCTAAGACAATTGCTGTTACGAGGATAATGAGTATAAAGTGTGTGTGTGGGGGGGAACTATTCTTGAAACCAATAGAAGAGAATATTATGTTGCTCAGGGTTGAACTTTGGAGTCCTTGTTGCTCTCTCAGCTTGGCTGTTTCCTTGCAGATACAGTAACTTGCCCTGCCAGGTCTGGTGAGGGTGTGGTTTTCTTCCTAGTTTATCTCTATGTGTCTATAGAGATAAACTACATTTACACACCATTCAAGAGACAATAAAAAACGAACAAGGCAACAAATAGGCCAAAATACATCCACTCCAGCAACCAACACCCAGATAAGAAGGGGGTTAACAACAGACAAACAATCAAGCAGACAACAACACCCTAATCAAGGAACTACCGAAGGGGGAAAAGCTGCATCCTTAGAAACACTGGCAGGGCAAGCTACTGTATATAAACAGGGAATAAACCTCACACTTACTAGTACTGAAGATATTACTTAGTTGGGTAATGAAACGGTTGCAAGCAAACAACCAAGCTCAGAGAGCACCAAGGACTCCACTATTTGTGAAATTCAAAGGTAGGGTTATTTTTTTTAAAAAAACACCCGTTTTTACTAGCTAGCAAGAATGTATTAAAATGCCCGTACACATAGGCAAATTGATTCTCTTTCTACTGAGCAAATTAGTTTGTGAGTTATTTCTCAGAGAGAATCCTTGCTTCTTATAAAATGTTGTTATTTCATATATGAGTTTATCGTGCTAGTCTGAAATATAAGGAAGGCGCAAACTTGCCTCCACAGTAGTGCTGCCTTCAGAAATGCTCCAACCACCTTTAAAGCTCAGCCTACTGAGTATCTGACAGCCGTTCTTGAATATAGGTTTGAGCTACTAAGATTAACCATTTCTGTGGATGTAAAAACCCTTGGTATCTATTCCACTTGCATTTAGCCACTAGAGGGGTTCAAATTGTTTCCAATTGGAAACTCCTTATTTCGAGTTCAAAGCAGTTGATTTCACCTTGAAACATGCTATTTTGAGCAGAAAACAAAATGTTTCAAGCTCAAAATACTACCAGAAGAGCCAAAACAATTCAAAACAGCTGTTTTGAATTCAACACAATTTTTTCCCCCCGATTTGAAATGTTTTTCACACCATTAATAGCTGCTTATTCACACAGCTAATAAAAAATCCAGCAGGGAAGCTGGGAGGAATAAACCTTGCCAAAAATATTAACTGGATATATTTCTTAGTGATGTATATAGAACCTTGCCTATTGAAGTAAAACATTATTATACAATGTTAGGAGAATTCATTTCCTCCTTACCATCTCCTTCCAGGTCGTCTGTTTCATCTGCCCAGCTGATTGGTTTTGGGATATAGGTGGGACCACCACCACCACCACCACCACCACTACCACCACTACCATCCACTGCCAGAAAATCCGTCAGACTCACGGTCTTCCCCTTCTTGTTCTTCTTCTTAGCTGTAAAAAAACAAGAGGCGTGTTCACAGTCTAAAAGACCTGAAACTGAATTGCTGTTCCCTAATAAATATTGAGGAGGATACCCCAATGCTGATCATTTCCAACACGATACAGAATATTCAGTTAAATGGCTTAAGATGCTGTTTTGAAACTGAAGTAAAAGGGTAGTTTAATGTAGCACTATTTAAAGTTAGGTAAAGAAAGCTTCATTTTTTTTAAAACAACAAAGATAAATTCTAAATGCAGTTTTAAAAAATGGGTAAAAAAATAAGTTATGAATAGTTAATAGCATAAAACTATGCTTTATCTGTGCGTCCAATAAACTTTGCCTAGAATATCAGCCTTCAGGCACAGTTAAAATGCATTACAACTGCAGGAACGTATTTTCCATTCCCTTATCTGCCTTCTCAACTCTATGTAAGTGGTAGCTATGGGGGAGCCTGTCCAAAGCAGAGTTCTTATCTGCCCAACAATGGAAGGTTTTTTGGCAAGTTAAAAAAATTGTCTGTCAACTTCCAGGGGAGATTTGGTGAAATGAAAATGCAGAGCCAACAATCATGGCAAAGACCAAGGAACCGGTAAGTAGATCAGTTCCTTGGACTTCTCCAGAAAAGGAAGAGGGTGAGAGATCGGCCACATGTGCTCAGGGCAGCTGCTCACTGCAAGCAAATTTCAGGGCAGAAGTTTTGTGTTAAGTTTGAACTCTGGAAGATGATGGAATCAGACATTTATTTATTTATTTATTTATTTATTGTTTAAATTTATATACCGCCCTATCTCCCTTACGGGACTCAGGGCGGTGAACAGGCAATAATAAAAATCACAGTAAATCACATCTTGCTTGCAACCACAAGGGAGCTTTTTAAAGCAGAGTTCCCCAACGTTTCCAGCTTTGCAGACATGGGGGGGGGGAGAGGTGATGGTGCCGCATAAGCGGCCGGCAACTGCGCGCAACTCCATTTGTACAGGTGCCTGCTGCTCACTTAAATGGAGCTCACCCGCTCGCCTGCTGCTTGCAAGTGAGGATGCATTTGTCGGCCATTTCCATGGCCTGGTTGCAAACCCCTCACAGCCCACTAGTGGGTCAGGGCCCACAGGTTGGGGACCCCCGTTTTAAGTTCTAAATTCACAAACCACCACCTCTAATCATGTTCAGAAATTGCCTATTAACCGTCTTAAAGCTATTAGAGACCTTCAAAACGCATCATGGGAGTTTATTTTCAATTCTGAACACACAAAAAATTACAAACTTAAAAACTTAAAAAAAAAGAAAAAGAATTTGAAATGAACAACAAAAAATTAAGATTTTGATCTAAGAAAGTTATAAATGAAATAAAGATCCAGATAACTTTGGAATAAGATTTTTGAAATTAACTATAAAAAAATAAACAGCTTCTTGTCAAGTTTCTAACTTGATTATTTTGGCTTTATTGGCTAATTTAAGACATAACAGAGTAATAATAGCCTTAGAAAATGGACATTAGAGGGAACTAAAAATCCTAAGAGAGGAAAAATGACCAGTATTGAGACTTACAAAACAATACAAAAGAGTAAAATATTGGAAATATTAGAGCTCTTTGAAGAATGGAGCAGAAATTAGTAACTATACTAATATATACATTACTGTCAGTAATCATGTATCCTTCTATGGATAGGTTAGGTCTAAAACAGAGGTCTCCATCCCCTGGGCCGTGACAGACTACCGGGCTGTGACCTATTCAGAATCTGGCCCTGTGAATGGTGGGCCGCCGTTCACGCATGCACAACTTGATTTGCACAAGCGATGGGCCAGCGCACATGCATACGCAGTTCAACTTATGCAAGCTGAGCTCCATGCACAGGCGCGCCAGCCTGCTGCTCATGCAGCCTGGTTCCCCTCTCACCCCTGCCGGATTGTCAAGTCGCAAAGGTTGGGGACCGCTGGTTTAAAAGATGCTAATGAAGAAATGAGAGGTATGGAACAAATTTTATCTGACAAGATAGAAAAAGTACCAAAAATGGAACTACAAATGAAAGACCAAGAGAATGATTTGGAAAAGGATGCTTTACTGGCTTTATACAAAAGAACTTGCTTATGTTTTAAAAATTAAAAAGGAAATAGAAATGATAAGCCAAGAGAATGACATGGAAAATGTCTTTATTAGATCTATAAAAGAAGCTTGTTCAAGACTTGAAGCAATCTGAGCAATGTGGTAAAAAAGAATGAAAGAGAAATCAAATCCAACGACAATATTTGATTGGATTAAAGATTAATACTGTTAGAAGTAAAAAGAAGAAATACAAAATTGATTTATCTAATCAAGGTTAAAATAAGCATTTTTGCTCACACCTTTTTTCTTTTTCTTCCTTTTTTTTGCTATTATCTTCTTTTAGTTTGCATTTGTTTTTACTACTGTAATTAAAATTCTTAATAAAAATTATATTTTAAAAAGAAACTTGCTTCTCGGTAAATGTATTTGCAAGAGACCCTATTATAATTAACAAACTACAGTCTTTAAACAACAGAACTTTCTACAGTTATCACAGAATTCACCGAACAAGAATAACTACATATATTCTTAGGGGTGTGCAATTTCAGTAAATATTGCAGTTTATGTTCATAAATGCAAGACACTTCAACTGACCATTGATTTCCAAAGAATAAGAAAAAAAAATCTGAATCTGACCTGTACTTTTTAAAGACAGTAATCTACAGTACTCCTGAAACAACTGGATGGTTTCTATATTAATCATTTCCCATTTCTGCAAAGTACTTGTCTATATATCCACAACATAAAAGATCGGCAACTTATTATTGAAATGCCAAATAAACGTAGCTGTATCACTGATCGTATTAATCCCCAACAAGCTTAGAGTTAATTAGCCAAGTCTACAAGTCATGGTAAGGCAAACCCCACCCATAGTATAGCTTACCGTGACACGTGCAGTAAATTGGGGAATTCTAACCAAATTTGTCCCCAAGACTGAAAATCTTGTATTTGTAAAATTCATATCATATTAATATACTTTTAAAAACAGTATTTCAAAATTCAGATGAAGATCTGCTTCTACAGTAACTGTCTGTAGCTTGACTAATAGAAAGAATTTAGCTGCCAACCACAAAGTCCTGTTAATTTTAAGAATTTAATTTAAATGTTAAATGTCACTATCTGTTGAAATGGTAGTTAATCATACTCCAAAATATTTAATTTGTTATATATGTATATAAATAAAAAATATTGTTATATATAATATATATATATATATTATCTTATTTAAAAATCCTGAAGCACTGATTATAATAGCATAAATGAAAACAGAATAAAAAAAAACAGTAGAAAGAGGTATACAGGGTGGCCTAAAAAATAACTTTCCTAATGAAAAAAGATATATGATGAGAAAAATTAAGGAGATATAATGATGAGAAAAGCAAATATAAAAAGAGAATGGTATAAAAGATTGGGGGGAAATCTTTATTCCCATGTCAATTCATGCTAAATAATGCTATATTATAAAAGCACTCTTGTCTTTTCAATTTCTAGGAGTGACTACTTGTTGCTTCAAATTTGTTCTGGAGCAAACGTATAATATGAGCTCAAGACATGGATGAATGCCCTTCTCCAAAAACTGATATCACAAAGACAGTTATAGTGTGCTAAGATTTCCTTTATATTTGCATTATTCTTAAAGGGCAATGTGAATACAGAGGCTACTGCTATTGCAGATAAACAATGTAGATATTGTCTCTGCAATTACCAAGAAAAACTAATAAGGAAGCAACATTAAAAGAATAACAATCCAATGCTAATAAGAGAGTTCATTATATAACACCTTTACTAATATTTCAGGGTGCCTGCAGATTCTGTTAGGGTTTTATCTTCTCCTCTACAACAGTTGCACCCTAAGAATTTCTGCACGAAGGGTAAGACATTGGGGCCAATACATAAAACGGATTGGCAATGCTTTACAATATTTAATGATTCAGCTGCTGCTCTTGGTTCATGTTACTTACTTTCTTCTGCAACCTGCATAGTACTTGGTCAGTCCCTGACCAAAGATAAACGGCATGGTTTTAAACTATTTGCTCCCTCCTGTCTCTTATTAAGAGTGTAAACCCTATAGACAACTTACAGAGACATTTTTATTTGCCTCCATCATGTCTCCACATTGTGATAATTTCAATTACGTCATCGCATTATGACTTCATGCAAGACTGGCAAAAGATGTGCCTTTAAATACATGAAGAGTTGCCTTATTTGTATCATTAGTTATATTTTCTAGATATAAGGAGCTCCATAAGCAAGCTCTGCATATCCAGAGGAGACTGGAATCTTTGAGGCCAATTGGATTCCATATTTTAAACAGCCCTGTTAGAAATAGAATCACCAGACTACGGGCTAGACTCAGAAACCAATGATAAACCATTTCTATCTGAGAAAAAAGCAATGATAAACCACTTCCATACATCCAAGTTACATGGATGTACAGTATCTATGAAGTAATGATGAACACATTTGCCTTAAACATTTTACTATCATAGAGGAGAGAAGCTGGTACATAATACATGCTATGAATGCAAGACTCCAGGTTTAATCACTGGCATCAACAGCCAGATTAGGGAAGTGAAGACTCTGGAAAACCAAAACAAATCATGGTAAATAAACTCTTTCAGATTCCAATTAAAAATATAAAATTTTCATATAGATCTGTTTATGGGTTCAAAACAACAAAAATGGATTCTCAAATAACACCGAGTGGTATTGGTTTTTTTCATTTCACCCTAGTGTATATATGAACTCTGTAATTTATAAACCATGATTTTTGATTTAATATAATATATGAAATGCTGATTTACCCTTCTTACAAAACAATAATCGTTTGGTTTGGGCTTAGAATGTTATTTGTTATTAAGTTATTTGTTATTAGAATGTTATTAAGCTAAAGAAACCATAGCTTAATATTATGTGAGTTAGTTTTTTTATCTCAATATATTTTTTCAACCTCATTAAATGAAATTATAA